CATAGTTGCGAATAAACCTAAGCTTTTTTCAAAAACTGCTAACGCCGACTCATCAGATGTAATCATCATCCGTGTTTCCGTACCATGTAAGAGGACGGGAATGATGTGCGACTTGTGGGGTTTGGTTTTCTAGGTTTTCGTTCGTCGGGTGAGGACTTTACTTTTCAATTGCCTACTCAGTCCAAAGTAGCATCTATTGGCAAGAGGTATTCTGCGAATGCGATGACTGTTTGCTTGATAACAGCAGATAATTCGACTTGCCTTCGGTCAGTAGAAAGCCAAATTCATAGCACGGTTGTTGAGGTTAATGATATCGCCGACATACGCCAGACATACTCTAATAGAAGATTGTACTTTCTCTTTTCAGCTTAGCAGCTGGTATTATTTTTTCTAGCAATTACCATAAGAAGTCACCTAGTCTGTAACCATGTTTGGTCCAGACTGTGAGAACCCGCCTTTTTGTCTCGAGTATGTTTTCATCTGACCATACTTTGCCAAGTAGCTGATTCTTGCAACTTATTAGTTTTTAGCCACCGTATTTGAATAGCTCTGCCGGCAATCCATCGGTCTCAGCCGGTTTGAAGTTTTTATAGCGTGCATGTGGCAATGACATCTATTCCAACGTCATCAATTGGGGAATCGAGTTTGCCATTTCTTTGCTACACAAATTCCGTATACTCTAGGAATGTCTCAACGGGTTACCTCTCTGACTTCTACCAGAGTTTGCTCCCAACTTGAAACCTTCTGTAAGTCGCCGTACCTTTTCGGAGAATCGAAACAGAACTTTGCTACATGTCCCTGGTCTATTTCCTGGAGACAAAAGTATTCCAAAAATTTAACTGACACGAGCCATGAATATGTATATTTTTTCAAGTACAATAAAAATAACTATAATTAGGATGTTTTCAACACCCATGCACCTAATTTCAAGTAAATCGAACATTAAATGCAATTTTTTCGAATTGGTCAGTGCCTCGTCATGACAAAATTTCAAGTCAATCGGTCGGCAACTTTTCATGATATGCAGATTCTCACAAACGAACTTACAAAGAATTTTTACATACATATATTAAATATACATAGATAATAAATAACGTTCTATAACCACTAAAATTGTTTTTTTTTTTTTTTTTGAAATAAACTAATTTTTTTAAAAACTGTTCAGGGTTCGATTCCCTTACTCTCCTCATGACAGCACGCAAGAATAATAACTCGACTATGCAAACGTTGATATTTGCACTCTTTAGAACTCATTCGAAATTCGTTGGCTTCAATCATTATTTATTTGAATGTATTTTAAGTCTCTTATTGTTTTCCAAATTATTCAAAATTTATGTTTCTCAAGTGGAACATTTAAATTTGCAAAAAAAAAAATGTCCTAAATGATTGACCAAGTAAAGAAAAGGAAGCGCCTACTCCACCTATGTCATATATTATAATATACATACATATATATTATATAATCGTATATTACACGTATTTGAGTGGATGACTTAAATCGAAAGGACTACAGAGCCTTAGTCTTGAAGAAAATTGCAAAAAACTTGGCATCAACGAATTCTCAAAAGGTCTAGCCTCCTATTGATCAAGTGCTCTAAAATCCTTTGTGTAGGCGGTATCCAAAATTAAATCTAAAATTGACAAAATGTTTGCGCGGTTGCATGCACACAAGACACTTTTCTCCTTATTATTATTTTATATGTATGTATGGAGGTGAGCACCCGGCAGAGAGAATCTAGAGAAGCAAAAGGTATCAGTTGTTTCTTTCTATAAAATTATGCTGTTGTTACATACATATATCTACCCCGGCATGGCTCATGCTGCAACTACCGATTTTACTTACCTTCCGTCCATAACAGCCAACTGGAAGAGCGAAATGCATACACGAGTTATTGACGCTACTGAGAGCGGCGAAATCTTGCCAGCTGCCTGTGTGTTTGCACACTTTTGAACAAATTTATAATTTTCGTCAACGAATTTTATAATTTATAAGTTTGAATATAAACGCCAATCAAAAATACATGGTCTATATGGCAATAAATAACAATAAATTAATAATAATAATAAATTTCGAATTTAGTTTTCATTTCTTTTGAAAAAACTACGCATTTTCTTAGTTTATTTAATATTAGTTTAAAAAAGTCAATACTAGTAACTTTGTATAGAAAAAATCAAATCGCCGCTGGTTTCTGCGGAACAACCGTCAGTAATGGCATGGGCAATTTTGTATTTACATGGCGCTCTCATAAGAAAGGTTGCTATGGACGGAAGGTATGTAAGATGGGCGGCATACGTTTCATTCTCTGTTACGCTCTGATGAAGTTTGCAAAATGGCGTTGCTCACTGTATAGTCACTATTGCTGAATGATTAGCGGTTATTACTATAGTCTCGCTGCAGGCAAACTCATTTTTATTTGTGATGAATTAGAAATTCCTCATACGTAAAAGAACTAGTATTTAACTACTATGAAGCTGATGCATAAAGGAATAATTGAAATTTCGTAGACCAGCGCCATAATACATAGCTTTTACACAGGCAATAGATGGAACTTTAATTAGTTTTTGAAAGAATGCAATAAAAATGGTCTTTTTCTCTGCTGGGTATGCACCTTTGTACATATGAATGTAAGTGTTTATTCATGGTCAGGTGTATGTATGTGATAATTTTATTTTTCTTACACGCTTTCGTCTTTTCTTATGTTATTTTGTTCGTAAAATTCTTTTGTTTCTTATCTTTCACTAGTTGCTTGCAGCCCTGATGATACCATTTGATTTCGGTATGAGCTTTTTGTAGCCTACATTTCAGCGCTTTTGATTGTTGTTATTTGTTTTGTTACTTACTATTGTATCAATACGTTGTAGCCACATTAATACAATAGGATTTAATTGGCATATTTTGAGCAAAAAATTTTTCATAAAAAGTTGATTTTTGTTGTCCGTTGAAAGAAGAATTTACTACGAGATCTGTTCCACAAGTATCGCGAATATTTCCGTTGATCCATAAAGTATTCAGTAAGCTACCGCCGCAGTAGCCAAGTGACACTGACATTCGGAAGGTCAGGGTTCCAGTCTTGGTTCGATAAAGATATAAAAAAAAAAAACATGGAAAACGATTTTTTTTAATTGCGGTCCCACCTCGGTATGGAATATCAAGCCCTCCGAGTGTATTTTAGAAATGAAATAGAAAAATCAAGACGCATGCCATATAATGATGGAGGGGATCGGTCGAAAATCGTTTAAGTGCTTGCAAAGCTCCTTTCACGGTTTTCTTTCTACTCTTCTCTGTGCTGAGAACGCATAATGCAAAACGAAAGCTCTGAAATGAGCAAGGTTTACTGTAGTTTACTGTACCCGACCAGAGTTTTAAAATCATTTAAACTAGATACATCTTACCATCTGGACCTGATGGTATATCAGTCGGTAGCAATAATTGTAGTTCGTTTAAGAGAGTAATGGTTGGATAATTAAGCAACAGTTTTTGTGGCAACACAATGGTTTTAGTCAGGCTTAAACGTAACCGGTACGACAGTCTGTTAGGCACCAGATCTAACCTAACCCAAACCTGGATCCATAGAAATTTGTCGTTTCTTGCTTTTAAATTATGCCTGGTTGAGGGCAGCAAATGCAGGCTATGCAAGGAAGAGGAAGAAACAGTGGATAGCGTAATCTTTGAGTGCTCAGCATTCTGTAGACAGAGGACAATATATCAAACTTCGGAAGGACAAACTGCAGGATCTTTAGGCTGCAATAACCAAAGGTTCTTAGAAGAAAGGCAATATTCTTATAATATCGTCGAAATAACGTCTATGCCAGACAACCTAAGCGCAAGCTCATCTGACATGCCTCAACCGCTTTATGCCCCAGATGTGGCTTTTTGTGAATTTTCCCATAACCCAGATTAAAGGTACATATGGACATACTTGGCTTTGCGTCGATTGAAAAATTAGAAATAGAAACCGTGAAAGAGAGCAGAGTATAAACAAAAAATGGTATGTCAAGAGCATTTTTTTTGGGAAGAGTTAAAATGAAAAATTGAAAACAAATACATACTAGAAAAAAAAACTAAATCAAAATTTATGGTACTTTGCGAGCACACCTATTAATTCATAAAATCAAAGTCCTGGCATTATATTCACCTTTATTTCTTTACATCTAAGGTAAGGAAGTGGGAGCTAATTATGAGACGAACAATACAAATGAAAAAATTCTCAAATATTACTGTTTATGATTGCTAAATGCTTGTATAATTAAAAAAATATGTATGTACACACGTGAAACATATATACTGGTTTGCCCAAAAAGTAATTGCGGATTTTTCATATAGTCGGCGTTGACAAATTTTTTCAATGGCTTGTGACTCTGTAACTGCGTTCCTTCTTCTGTCAGTTAATAGNATTGGAAGTAAACTGAGTGAGCTTGGCTGGGAACTTTTGATGCATCCACCATATAGCCCCGACCTTACACCATCAGACTACCATTTATTTCGATCTTTGCAAAACTCCTTAAATGGTAAAACTTTCGGCAATGATGAGGCTATAAAATCGCATTCGGTTAGTTTTTTGCAGATAAAGGCCAGAAGTTCTATGAGCGTGGAATACTAAATTTGCCAGGAAGATGGCAAAAGGTTATCGAACAAAATGGCAATTAAAGTTCATTCCAAGTTTTGTTAAAAATGCATTTACTTTCTTTTAAAAAATCCGCAATTACTTTTTGGGCAACCCAATATATACACGTATGTGTATAGTGCTTGGTAGACTGAAAATATTCATAATTCTAAAAAGTTTAGAGTGTGTTACAATGCGTTTTAGATATCATTGTTCATAAAATGGAGGGAGATATTCCTCTTCTGAAATGTGTAGAGATGTATGTATATATGTATTTAGAAATTTTTTGAATTACGATAAACTTTTTATAAAGAAACAATCTAAATCGCAACTAACAGTGAATGTTGGTGTATATATATATGTATGCGAATATATGTTTATATTTGTATTTTTTAGGCTCTATCTTGTTCGAAGGCAACATGCATGAGCAGTGTTATGGCCCTTGGCACGGCCCCAGTTGAAGCGCGTAAACCTGATGTGGTATTGGAGCATGCAAAAGATTTTTTGGATCAATATTTTACATCAATCAAGAGGTAAGGATACAGAACCATAGATATAATTGTAATGAGGTGAGTCAATTTCATAATTCCATCATTCACTTGAGCATTTTAATGCAATAATAATCTATTACTCAAACACTCACAAGCGGATTCACATAAAAATTTTGTCTTGCTTTGCCTCCAAGCTTTATTCTGTCAGAAAGAAAAATGCCATGCTTATTTACATACAACAGGTCTCAAAAAAAAGTATTGGAGGCGAGGCGAGAGGAAACGGGGAAAGAAACACAGTTGACCAATATTTAACCTGATTAACTTTCCTCAATTCAATCAATCCGCACCGTTAATTGTTCTAAAGAAAAAGAGAAAATCTCTTTCTTGGTCAAGAGTAACCTTTAAAAATGTGAGGAGAGAAAGGCAGATTAATGACAGACCTATTGCACATAGATAGTAAGTTGCCAAGAAGAAATCAGCCGGGCTGAGGAAGACACTGTCCATAGAACGCACCAATACCGCCTTGAAACAGTGGGATGTAGCTGCTCAGACCTCCTCCGCTGAATAGTCCCTTGCGGTACTGATTGAAACGTATTTTCCCGAGAGTTAGTAAACTGCGGATATTGTGGTCCAACCAGAATCACTTGTCAATACAACATAACAATCCGATCTCGTAGTAAGCAAGAAGAATACTGCGCACGCAATAAGCAGCTGGTCCGGATTGGATTATCCCAATAATGCTACAAAAGCTAAAGGAATCAATGGTTCTAAGTCTTGAATATATCTATAGGGCATGTATCCAACTATCTTACATACCCAGAAGCTGGAAGAGAGTCAAGAATGGGCAGTAAGAAAATTGAGACTATACGCCTTGTGTTCTTCATGTTGAAGGTTCTAAGAAGAATAATGGATATGTACTCGTACATTAGATCAACCATAGCAGATACCACAGCGATGATACATGAAGGGTCGATTAACAGAGACAGTTCTAGATGACGTGAAAAATATAATTGAAAAATCATTACAACACAAACAATACACAATGGTGTTCGTTCTTCGCGTAGAGAGAGCCTTTAGTATTTAAAAATTAAGTGCAATCATTTGATTCCCTTACACATGCTGTAAAGTTGGATATAACCGATGCTTATGACCGGTATGATTATAGCATCAAAGTGTTCAGCGATACGAGCAACACAGAGGAGTAGAAGCGGGGTATACTGAAAGGATCTTGATCTCTGGATCTCTATCTTTATTCGTCTATCAAAATCAACTTGCATGCTCCAAGCGGAATAACCAGGTATAGTGAAGGCCTGTGGAGTTCTACTCCACTTATCGATAATCTGGGTTCCTAAACGCGGAAAATTGTCGGTAACAAAAAACGCAGACGAGTTGGCTAAGCCTAGATGAAGCCAAGAAGATAGTAATATCATCCTCCTGAGAACATTCAAGAGGGAGATTTGTACATATTTCGAGCAGATGGAAATCTTTATCAAATTGCAACATAGCAAAGCAGATGTGATCCAGGTTTGATAAAACAAGAACTAAGGATTTATTCCTCCAAATTGGCCTACCATATAACATATATACTGTTATCAATTTTCTGTGTGAATGCCCAGCTAAATTACAGACCAGACATAGAACACTTGGTATGCCTTTGGTACCAAACCTTGAATGACTGGCTACAAAAAGAGTTACGGATATTAGTACTTTCGTTGAGAGCACCAACATTGAAACGGGATAGAAAGAATTGATTGATATATCATAAAAGATTGGCGAATGTAAAAACGAAGACTTCAGTTTCGATGGATTTTGATACAAATCCCGCCGATGGTAATATTTGAGGAAACAGATCTGAGTGGAGGATAAGGAAACAAACCGAATGTGTTTGAAAATAAATGATGAATTGAAATAAATATGTTGACCATAATAACTTTGAAGTCGCAGGGAATTTCGTCTGCTTAGGAACACTAAAGATAATGCTACCCTTGACTTAGAATCACTCTTGCTAACAATTGCCACCATGGAAGGCAATTAAAAGTAAAGTCCTCTCTTCACGAACAAGACAAGTCGCTCATCATATCCTTCCTGCTACGACAACCACAATTTTCTAAGCGAAAAGTTTTGCGGAAGATTTATGATCTTCTACATATTACGGACAGGCAACGGAGCGCATTTAAAATATTTTTTTTTTTTTTATAAAGTTTGAACCTTGGTATCTATTATACTCGTATGTGAAACACTTCAACATCCAAATCACCGCCTCACGAATTTTTACAGACTTCAAACCGTTTGAGGTAATTTTTGACCACTGTTTGACGCATATTAGGCGGCAGCTTTGTCATAACTTAAGAAGACTTGATATTCAAGTGACCAGAAGTAAAAGGTTTATCGGCATAAATACGATCTTACGCGTAGCCCCACTAAAAAAGGCCAACAGTGTCAAATTACACGAGCTCTGTGGCTAATTGACATAACCAAGACGGAAAATTAGGCGGACGGGAAATTTAACTCGCAATAAAGCCAAATTCGCTCGTGTTGAAACCACATATTGTCCAAGTCGTGTTCTTCAATGGCAGGCCAAAAAAGTCGGTTATTGGTCGTATGAATACAAATTGACCGTGACAGTTTCACTATGGTCGTTTTCAAAGAAGTAAGGTCCCATCACACTTCCGAAGCAAAGAGAAGAGCGCACACAGTAAGTTTTTTTCATTTGGTGAAACGAGCAAAACGATAATGCAGAGGCTTTACGATATTTGCAAACGCTTCAGTCTCCTTGAAATTCTGTAAAATTTTACCAATTTTTTTGAGTAGTTGGACGATTATTTGCACTGTACGAGTCTCTGAGTACGAAATGTGGCCAAGTTTAAATCAACGTATTTTTTAGTTATAGCTTTAACAATCTGCTGTTCGGTTGTTAAACAATTCATTTACAAAATTTTCAAAATTTTGACTAAAACAACACATATTTGGTGTGTCAGCTTAAAATACAGTGCTGTACTTTTTTAAACCACGAAATGAATAATGCTATAGTTCAGCGAATCAAGACATAGCGCAGAGGCCAGCTTTGTCCGGATGGATAAAAACACTCCAGCTCTGAAACTATTCGATGCTATAACAGGCAGTGTAAGCAGAGGGGGAGGAAGACCTCCACTCCTATAGAGGAATCAGGTCAGAAGACCTTGACTTGATGTCTCTAATTAGTAAAACTACTGGGAGTCGATTGGTGAAATCACGTTGAAACATGACTTTGCTTGGCATTTCCAAATCGGACTGAAATTTCTAGAATGCTATCGGCCGAGCTCCTTCTCTAATTTGTGGTTTTGGGTCTTGATGTTTTTCCAACAAATAGAGGGACCTACAGTTTATACTAAGCCGATTCTGAACGGCTGATAGTTTTCTTATGAGGAGCTTTATTTCATGTCAGAAATACACTGTTGGGGGGGTTGACATTCCCTGCCGAGGGTCGACCGCAATTAGAAAATTTAACTTATTTTTTTTATAGTTAAACTAATTTTCCATAACTTTTGGAGGATATTGGTGGCACCGGAATATGAACCCGAGGATTCCGAATGTCAGTACGCAATGCTAACCACTCGGCTACCGCGGCCGCCATACATACGTATATATACATGTGTAAAAAAATTTAATGAAATATTTTAAAAATAAAAAATTAAATGCAATAATTCAGAGTTTTTTTTCTGCTTTTACGTGTAATGTGTTGATTTCGTGGTGATTTTCATGATTTTTTCTTTTCACTATTACAGAGCTTCCAGCGTCGCTCATGATGCCCGTTGGAAACAGGTGCGTCAAAATATCGAATCCAGCGGCTCTTATCAACTCACTGAAACCGAATTGATTTATGGTGCAAAATTGGCTTGGCGCAATTCATCTCGCTGCATTGGACGCATACAATGGTCTAAATTGCAGGTGAGTTCCAAAAAAAAATAAAAATAAAAAAAAAAAAATTAAAAAAAATTTTTTTTAAAATGTAAAATTTAATTTAGTACAACAATGCAATGGCAATAAATTATTTAAAACTTTTGCGTATGCGAAAGGGTGAAAAATGGTTTTGAGTGCATTTGAGTGTCGGTGACATTAAACGAATTCATGATTGAATTATCTGATGATGATAGCGACAAGTGATGTGGAGTGGTTTGTGGGAAAAGTGGTTGCCATTCCAACACGCAAAGCTGGTTAAAATTTTGGAAAGACAAAGAACACACATACATATGTACATACGTATATAACCACACATGTGCAGAGATATGTTTACATGTGTTTTTAAATATGTACATATGTTCGTGAGTATTTTGATATAGTCATACATATAATACATATGTACATATACATATACATTATGAAATGTATAAATACCGAGCCACATTATATTTCAAGCAGAAAGTACAAACAGAACGCTCTTTGTGGCCATTGATGGTGAAGAATTTCATTAAACAACTTTTCTGTGTGTACATACATACATACATACATACCAGTATATATGTGGCTCTGCACTATTTATATATGCATGCTTTATTTTGACTTTACATATATTTAACTAAATACAAAGCATTTGAAATAAATATGCTTGAAACCTTGCAACACGTTTACGCACATATAAGTTTGGCAACTATACATACATACATAAATACATACATACACACATTCATACATACATACAAATGGCAACGTTGTGCAAATCTGTTGGCTTACATTTTTTGGCACATTCAAATATTCAACTTTCCTATCAAACATATTTCATTTATTTATCGAATGTACATATGTATTGTACATAGTATATGTATATAGATACACACATACATATGTGCATAACTTTTCATGCTTGCATGAGTCTGTATGTGACAGGATAAGTACATTTGTAAACATTATTTCCAAATCACTATTTACAATTTGAGAATTCTGTTGTTATTTGAAAGTCGAAAAATTCCTTTTCGCTGTAAATAATAAGAGAAAATAAACGTAAAATAGAATGTACACGTATGTATCTACATATGTACATATGTATATGCACAAATATTTATAATAATAAAAAGTCAAACACTGCAAGAGAAAATCCAACACCAAATCCAATTGGAAAGTTTATATTGACTTAATTTGCCAGAGAGTCTCCTTCTGTTGGGCTCGGTTTTATGTTGACATAAAAATTTTTGTAAAAGGAATATCTATAGACAGGCACACACGAGGTCTATTTGAGAAGTAAGGTGAATTTTTGTCTATTTTTTATTTATTCATCAATTCTTAATTTCTGCCCTTCAAAGTAGTCTTCTCCTCAGCGTCAGAGGTTTTTCTTTCAAATCTAGCAGCAGTTGTTGGTTTGTTCTTGAGCTCTTGCAGCGATTCGGTTCTTATTTTTTCACTGACTTCTTCAATCTGGAGAGCATATAAAAGTCGCAATGTGCCAATATAGTGCCATGGGTATGATAACGGTGCTGTTTTTGATTAATTTGGACGAGGACTTTACTTTTCAATTGTATACTCTGTCTTGGAAAGAGTAATTTCGCTTTAGATTTCAAGGCTGACATTGTTGTTGGAGTTGATTCTGGTTAAAAGATAGACGAAATCGCCGACTACTTCGAAGTTAAGACTCTCAATAGTAAAATGGGAGCCGATGAGTTTTTGTTTAATGAGAGGAGGTATTTCGTTCACGGCGCGGTGGTTTACGTCAATGATAACAATATCATCGGCAGAAGCTAGCCGTTATAGCCTCTTACAGAAGATTGTGCCTTCTCCATTCAGCTCTGCAGCTCGCAGTATTTTTTCCATTTATAGATTAAAGAAGTCAACAAAAAACAAAAGCAGTCAAATTGCGTAAAACCTCGTTTGGTATCGAACGTCTCGTAGAAGTCCTTTTCGTTCTTGTCGGAGCTTTTGGTTCAGGCTTTAGTTTTTCACAAAAAAACACACGATGGGACCTTATATACGTTGCTAAGGAGACTTGTCCCACGATAAGTGGCGCAGTCTGTAGGATTGTCCTTTCTTTGGATTGGCAGATCACGCTCAAGTTCCAATCCAAACATCGGGCATATTTTTGTCCGGTCATATTCTGTGAAATGGCAGATTCATGCACCTTGTCGGTTCTTCGCCACATTGTTTGAATAGCAAATCATGTGCTTGGCCGGCTTGTAGTTTTTTAGGCGGGCAATTACTTTTGGCCATAGTGGTGTAACAAAACATCTGCTTCATCGTCTTCGATTGGGAGTTCGAGTTCGCTCTCCAGTGGTGTTCAATTTCCCACTCTGCACGTATAGTGGTCGATCGAAATGTTCGTTGCTAGTCAGGCGTCACTGCGGCAATACAATCTTCATGGTACCAGTTGTTTTTTTGACATTTCCTAAAACTAAAAGTTTCTTATACAGTTGTACGTAGGGAGCTTGAAATGCTGCCCCGAAAATTCCTTATCACAACATAAATGATCTGGTTTGCTTCACACCATCTCTGGTTAGACATCAGCGGCTGCACTGAAGCATTCTCTCAGCAGTGATGCTACTCTCCATTGGTAACGGAACTTAGCTTCAGGGTGCCCATCGATCCCGAAATAGTCTACTTTGTTGCAGTGGTGCTGATCGTAGATCTTAATAATATCCGATGAATCGATGGCAACAACGAATACTGTGCACAATGGGACATTAAGTTCGTTGAATTAAGAATTCAAATGTCGTCGTCCGAATAGACGCAAATACTTCAGTATTGAAAGTACTCAATGCAGTACCTGTTGGTGAAACATGCGAAGTGGAAGACCACCAATCCGTTGGGGGACTTGGTGTCTGTAATTTACTCCGAAAGTCTAAATGAAGAAATAACTGATGCACTGTTGTTAATTCGGCTATAATCACGCAAGCGGTTCCTCCTACGCCAAAGAAGAAGAAGAAGAAGCAGTTACTACCTTGTGCTGAGTAGGCAAATAAAGTCAACTCTGCCTGACTGTATCGTGCAGGGACTTGGACGATGGCAACATCGAATGAATTCGCTTTAGGTGTTTTCGAGAGAAAGGTTTTACGAAAGTTTCATTGCGTGTCTGCGAGGGTAATAATGGCATTAAGAGCTACATATAGAAGAAAATACGACGACAAGGATATATTCAAACAGAGCCGAATACGATGCCAACGCATGGCCGAAAATGCTTTAGCTTTTAAGATTCTCGATCTTTGCCTTAAATTCACTTGTATCCAAACAGTGAAATGAAGAAAGGAATTGAATGCTGACTCGCCCCCAAGCACCGTGTAGAGTGCTCACGCAAACTAAGAAATGCTTAATTGAAAATACCCCTTAAGTAGAAATTAAAAGCGTAAGCGAAACAAATCAGGCGGATTGGAAAGGGAGAATAAGCAATCATATTATTCACCTTTTATGAATTCCACTTGTTTATATTTTTACACTAGACAAAGAGTTGTGCTCTCTTTGAAGTACTTCCAACTATCTACATGCATACACACACACACACACACACGCATACTGGACTGCTATTTAGTAAACGATTTTCGCACCTCTGTTAAATACGTGTAGCTTTCGATAAAATTCTCAGTATCCTGAACATGGCCACTTGTAGTTGAAGTAATTTCCTTAATTAAGTTTAAAGTGTGTGCTTGTTGTTGGTGTGTTGGTATTCTTTCTGCTTCCATTTCTGTGATTATTGAAGAGTATATTATGTTTTGAATCATGCGGATGCTCTTGAGAGAGGTCACTCGAAAATCATAGCGTGAAATTGAAATTTTAATTTTTAATACAAATTTGGACGCACATACACTTATGCACACACGCACCCACACTGACCAGGGCGATTTAGTATAACAACAATTTATCGAATTTCCTTAAATTTTATATTCTCTGAATATTACGAAATATATGATAAGCATGAAAACTGTGTTTTTGAACTTTGAAAAGGAAAATAAAGAAAATAATGTTTTGTGAAAAATTATTTGAAATTAATTGTATCTCCGAGAAGGACTAAGTAAGTAACCGATTATTATTATTCATATTGGGAGTACAAATTAATTCGGTCCATTTTTTTTATTGCCCGTCGAAAGCGACTACTTTTTCCCATCTTTGCGGTAATTTTCGAATACCATCTCCGAACGAGTTCTCTCTGTCCTCGATCTACTCATTGAGCCATTCCACGATCTCTTTAAAAGACCCGAACCGGCAACCCCCAAATCGTTTTGTATTCGTCGAAAAAGCCATTAGTCGGAAAAAGCAAGGACTGGAGAATATGACGAGTGGTGTCATACTGGCCACTGCTGGTCGGCGCAAAAGCGTCAATGGCTTCGCCTGGTTCTAGCAGCTAACAGGACACCAGACCACGCCCATCTGACCCCCTGACGACGCTCGTCATCTTCGACGCCACCACTTTTGAAACGTTGAAACCACTCCCTGTATGACTTGTCCACAAGCATTCCATGGGTTCCAGCCGCTCTTTCTTCTAATTAAAATATTAAGTGAAAACTTTCCGCAAACGCTCTTGATTTAACACAAATTTGGACACTTTCGAAGAGGCAAGAAGCCATGTTTATGTTTTTCCAACAAATGGAAGGGCTTACAGTTTAAACTAAGCCGCCTCCGAACGGCTGATGGTTTTTTATGAGAAGTCTTTAATTCATGTTTGAAATACACTCGTAGGTTTTGACATTCCCTGCCGAGAGGTGGTCGCATTAGAAATGTTTTCTCATTTTTTTATTTAAAGTAATTTTCTATAACTTTTTGTATTTTGGTTGGACCAGGATTTGAACCTGGGCCTTCGGAATGGCAGTATGCAATGCTAACCACTCGGTTAGCGCCGGCCGCTAATACATATGAATATATTTCCATAGTTCCCTGGTGAGAGTAAGAATGAAACGACTTTTTGTGCTGTTGCTTCGACTTGCTTCATCCATTTGTTGACTGGTCTCCCGCGTCTTTGACTCCCTTAAAGATTCCACTCTAGCGCTATTCTTGTAATGTCGTCGCGAGGATTTCGCAAAAGTAAGACCGAGCCATTTCCCTTTACAGTGCCGAATTTTGATATGAACCAGTAGCCACTGCCAAGCCACTATTTTTTGTAATAAAGCTGCCTAATTAGCAAAACTCACCGACTTCTCCCAGGGCCGTGCGGGCGATATGTAGAATTGGCGTTTCAGTTGCGTTGATTCAAATGAGTTTGGACTTCGCGATGTATTCAGCATATTCCTAACGTAGTCAATGCAAGCTAGTCCGATACACATTCAGATAAATTTCCCTTCTACAGAGGATTAGTAATGGCGTCTTCTTTCAGCTCGTTTGGTAACCTTTGATTAAAGTAAACAACATCCGCGCGGTCGTCAGAGGATCAGCTTTAAGAAGTTCTGGGCGTATATTGTTTGGCCTCGGGGTCCAATTACCAATCCAGTTCCGATTGGGAACTCAGAAACTCAGAAAGCGTGAAATCATGAAGTTTAGCTTTGGTTATTGGTCAGTGCTCTCAGAGTGCAGAAATGAGAGAAACGTCTTTGGTTGACTGTTGCGATTCAAACTTTTCGCTGTCGAAACTTTTCTGCTAGTCAGTGTTGAGACACCATAGAGGACAAGCTCTCATAGAACTGCCACGATTTGGTTGCGATGTTTTCGACCTTAACCAGCTGAAGTTCCTGACGTTGGAGCCACTATGGTCCTCCAAAAACAGAGCAGCCATGTTATGAGTCCTTAACATGTAGGAGCTAGAGATTTGATCTGATGAAATTAAGATGACGAATACGAATAACTTATCGTCGGGAGCCGATGGCTTACCACCTGAGCTATTCAATTACGGCGTCGAGGAACTCAAAAAGCGCATGCATCAGCTTCTATGTAAAATCTGATAGAACAGATGCATGACTGTCGACTGGAGCAACAACATTAGCAAGCGCAGAAACTTGAAAAAGAATCAACGAAGATCTTAAAGCCGATTTCCTTAGCACAAAAAGGATCTGGCTTTATGGTGCCATGGAATCGCTGCGAAACACATACTTCAGTGTAAGCTGATGCTACACTAAGCGCTCAGTTCGTATTGGAATGTACCTCTTCGAACTGTTCGATTCTGAATGAGGTTTCGGACAAGCTGGCTCTTTAGTGTGCTTGAAAAAATGATAGACGTTGCAAAGCAAAGCAGCAGAGCTACAATCAACAACAGCTACAATGGCGATAATATTAACATCGTCGGCTTCAGCAATGTTTTTCATTCTCTTGGTTGGCCTAGGGAAATCAGGTGAGTGGCACTCAGAAACGTAGAATAACGGTTGTTCTTTTGGACTGTGTAGAAAAAAAAAAATTGTATCTCGACAAACAAAGATCAATCTTCATAAGTCACTCCTCATTTTCATCTTGCTGTTTGATGCAGAAATGTGGTCAATAAAAACATTCGATAGAAGACTTCGCGAGAGAGGTGTTGTTGAACAATTTTGGACATTATTACTAGCGACGGCGAATAAGGTCGAGGATGGAACGACAAGCTAAAGGAGATACGCTGTCTTTACAGTTAAATTTCGTACAATAAAATTAAAGAGAAACTAAATCCACTACGTTACAACTTTCCTCTAATAAGAATTATTATTTGAAATATAACCAAATTTCACATTCTGTTGCTTTTATTGTCGTCGTATATAATAAGAATTGCTAATATTCCTGATTACATTGCAACAATTGTGAAATCAGAGCCATCATTCTTCGGGGATTTAGCTCACAATTTCCATGCCTTCTTTTCGCCTTTGTTTGTCTTCTTTCCTTTTTCAATATTCTCCTTTATTTGTATATTACAGGTTTTCGATTGCCGCTATGTCACCACAACGAGTGGAATGTTCGAAGCAATATGCAATCACATTAAATATGCGACGAACAAAGGAAATCTCAGGTGAGCTGCCTCAACAAATAAATAAATAAATATTATTATTAGATTATATTATTTGTTTTACAAAAAAAAAATCCATTTACATACAAACATACAGATATAAAATATTATGGAATTTAAATCTTATCTGACCAAGCAGAACTTTTATTGTTATGACTTCGGTGGATTTTGTGCCGCTTCGATGTTGCCTTTGGCATTTTATGGCTTTAATACGGAACTTTACGGATGAAAAATCACAATGCGTGATTTCTATGAGGACTTAAGCTGTGTGCTGTTTTTTGTGATTGATTTACAGGAAAAATGGGGAAGGCTGAATTTTTCGCAATCTAAAATATCCAGATATTATTATATCCATCTAACTGTGTTTATTATATTGGATGAGTGCATAAGTTCGTGCCCGATTTCAAGTGCAAACTAAAATTGAAATTTTTTGAAGAAAGCGCTTTTATTAATCAATTATGTATTCGCCATCATGTTCGGCAATCCACTCCCAACGTTCAACCAATTTACGGATGCCTGATTCATAGAAATCGCGCGGTTTCTCGTTGAAAAAGGTGTCAAGGTGGTTTTTGACGTCTTCCACATTTTTAAATTTTTTTCCATTCAAATTGTTCTGCAGCGATCGAAACAAATGATAATCAGAAGGTGCAATGTCGGGTGAATATGGGGGATGCGGCATGATTTCCCAATTCATCTCCTTCAGTTTGGCCAGGGTCGGTTTTGCAACATGTGGCCTGGCGTTGTCATGATGGAAAAGAACTCCTTTGCGATTGGCCAAAATCGGACGTTTTTCATCAATTGCTTTCTTCAATTCGACCAATTGCTGACAATACTTGTTGGCAGTGATCGTTTCTCCAGCTGGCAAGAGCTCAAAATAGATCACGCCTCGGATATCCCACCAAATGCACAGCAGTACCTTCATCGGATGCAATCCACCTTTCGACATCGGTTCCGCCCCTTCGTGTGCCTGTTTCCATGTTCTTTTGCGTTGAACATTGTTGTACAGGATCCATTTTTCATCACCAGTCACGAGCCGATCCAAAAAAGGTTCGTTTTTGATCCGTCGAAGCAAAGAAATTGCTGTTGACATACGGTCCACTTTGTTTTTTTCACTCAACTGATGTGGCACCCATGTATCGAGCTTCAAAGTGTACCCAACCTTTTTTAAACGACGAAACGCAGTTGATTTGTTGACGTTCAATTCACTGGCAACCTCTTCCGTCGAAATACGTGAGTTATTCGCAACTAAAGTCCTTAGAACATCGTCATCAAGCTCAGAAGGCCGTCCACTGCGAGGTTGATCTTCGAGGTTAAAATCTCCAGAACGAAATTTCGCGAACCATTTCTTTACTGTGCGGAGTGCTGGAGCACGGTCCAAATAAACTTCGCGAATATCTTTAGTTGCAGCGCCTACTGTTTTTCCTTTGCGGAATTCGTATAACATAATATGGCGCATATGGTCTTTTTCGTTGTTTATCTTCCATGCGTCTTTTCACTAAGCAACTCAAAATGAAGTTATTTTATGCTTGATTTACAGTTCGGACTGTCACCTTTCCAACGATATATAATATGTATATATTTATTTCACAAGCGCCACTCTCAAACGATTCGAACGGCATCCAGCGGAATCGGGCGCGAACTTATGCACTCATCCAATACTAAAACATCTATTTGAAGAAAACATTGTACAACTAAGAAAGTCTCGGCGGTTTTTTTTTATTTTTTCTGAAGAATTTTTTTCTTTATTGAAAATGAATGTTTCCATTAATAACTAGGACCTTTTGTCAGCGAGTAGCTTTATAATTCCATTAGAGTAGAGCTTCTTTGGTTTAGAGGCTTAACGATGTTCAGTGGCTCTTCGGTCGGTAAAGTTTTTACCATAAAGACAGTTTTGGAGAGACCGAAAAAATTGAGAGTTAGATGGTTAGTTGAAAGAGGAAAGTTGAGGACCATTGAGTACGCTTATTGTGCTCCTCCATGAGTAAAAAGTACGCTCGATTTTATATATAAATCTTTCTAGTTACTTCGAGCCATTCTTGCCCACTCAGTGGGATTAAACAGAGAGTATCGGGAAAAAAACGACGCCTCAATTGCCTGAAGGCCTTATATTCCCATAGATTGTAGTACTAACATCAAAAAACCTATACAAAATTAATTTAAAATAAAAAATTAAGCTAAATTTTCTAACTGCGGTCTCCCCTTGGCAGGGGAATGTCAACCCCTCCGAGTTTATTTCTGACAGCTCCTCATAAAAAAAAACCATCAGTCCTTCGAAGGAGGCTTAGTATAAACTGTAGGTCCCTCCATTTGTTGGAAAAACATCAAGACTCAAAACCAAAAATTGGAGGAGGAGCTCGGCCGAAAATCGTTTCAGCGGTTACAAAGCGCCAATTATATATATAGTAGTTCTACAGCATTTCGTAACCCTCTCTGCTTAGTCTGCAGATAGCCGGTTCCACTTTAGGTAGAGAATGTCCCCCGTACACCCATAAGTTCGTTTTTCATTAATACCAGTAACGCTGTCCCCTACCTGCAAACCATGTTGCACTACAATAGTTTAGTGGTACGTTCTAAGTTGAAAAAATTCCAATACCTTATGCGGGCCTCTGCTTTAAGCAACATTTAAGGGTGTTGAAGGGTCTGAGGTAGTCAATTGTGACGCCGGTGCGAGTAAGTTCGTGCTCATTGTCTATGTCATTTAAATCCCTGTGACTTGGGACGCTGTATTTTCCTTCGATAGTTGTTAATCGCCTGCATGCATGTTCTAACGCATTTCGACTTTGTTTCGGTGCACTTAATTTCCGCTTGAATTTTTACCAGAAATCGGATAGATTTTCCCATTGAAGTGGTTACCCATTTGGCACTTTTAGTAAGACAACCGTGTGTGCTTGGAATACAGACTTGTGTTCATTGAGTTTGAAGCTGCCTTTGTTGGAATAACTTATGTTTACCTTGGATTCAGAGTCATCCGTATAGATATGGATCTCTGCACTGTTACCGATCTGCCCGCCTTTTATCCATTTTTCCTTAGAAGGGCAGGAGTAGATGACATCTACGCAGTAAAAAGTTTCCATTTCTCGCTCGTATTTTATTGTTACTTTTAGCCCGAGATCTGATAACATTTTCCGAATCCCGCCATGTGTCTGCACAACTTGGGCATTGGAATAAACTGGACAGAACATTTGGCATAAGGTCAAGCATAACTTCTAGGGTCCTTGGGTCCTTGTTGAGGTAGTCCTAATCGCGCCTGCTATACAAGTAGACAGGTACGTTGCACCTTAATACAGCACTTCCTTTTTAATGACGTCCACCAAAGTAGTGATCCATGCGCTAATAACCAGACGCATTTTTCAACAAGGTTTTCACAGAGATACTTAACAGAGATCGAGGGAATTGTGATTGACGTCGACTGAGCAGCACCATGGTTTGCATCTATGTTGGGAGCCCCAATTCAATGACGTTTTACATCTGGTTGAGAGTTTGTTTCGAGCTTAAGAGAGAAAAGAGTTGATAACAGCTCTAGAGAACCTGGTAGCAACCAAGTGACTGCTGGTATTGCCTGATTTCTCTTGATCACTGCGAAGAAGAAGCTCACTCTCAGTGAAAAAAATTATTCCTTTCCTGAAACTTGTGCGCTCGCTAGACAAAACAAAAAAAAAAAAAAAAAAAAAAAAAAGAAAAAGACTTGAAGTGATCAGATATTTGTAACAGATTTTCTGATGTTTGATTGTTTGTTTTCCTCCCTTATAATACTTTTTAGATCTGCAATCACAATATTCCCACAGCGAACGGATGGCCGACATGACTATCGTATTTGGAATAGTCAGCTCATTTCATATGCTGGATATAAACAACCGGATGGTAAAATTATTGGTGATCCTATGAATGCGGAATTCACGGAGGTAAGTGAGTGGGTTGTAATATCAAGTCAATATAGTCTGTTATCCGCCATTTTATTCAAGTTTATGATTGACGGCCAGGGGTACAACAATATGTTTTGACAATTTTTCTAATTCCATTCTTTAATGGATATTAATTTTACTATGAAATATTTGTTTCTCTTAAGGTTTGTCTCAAATTGGGTTGGAAGGGCAAAGGTAATGACTGGGACATTTTACCGTTAGTTGTGTCGGCGAATGGCCACGATCCGGACTATTTCGATTATCCACCGGAATTAATATTGGAAGTACCGTTAAGTCATCCCAAGTAAGTTTTTAGTACAAATATCTTACGGAAATAGTTTAAGACAGCAAAGTACAATAATACGAGGGTTTCCTTTTATATTTCGGTACTCGGCAACCATAGTTTTGAAATCACGCAGTTAACAACTTTATCGTAAATTTTGACATTTTTGACGAACACTCAGAACGTTGCATCGATGAATTTGATACTCTGCTCAAACTGATATTGCAAGATTGTCATGCGAGCTATCGTTAGATTGAGATCTTTATAGGAATTGATTGGACCAGCACACATTCATGAACATTTGACTTTAACAAAAATTTGTTCACGTCCCAGACAATTTGTTAATCGCTCAAAAAAAGCTCGTGGAGAGTAGTCGAGAGAAATGGCGCAACCGTGGCATGTCTTTCAATAAATCAGAAAAACCAACCGCCGAAAACAGATTACTTTTCATTACGACAATGCGGGCTCTCGCATATAGTCTGAAACGACAGCTCAAAAATGCACTCAAAACATCGAAACCGTTTTTCGTCACTTGAAAGGGGGGTTGTTTCAGAGCGACCTCTATCAGAGGGCAAAAAAGGTACGACAACTGGCTCAAACGCATACAAAAGTCTATATTTGTCATGTTATGGCTAATTTCTTTAAATCGAGTAGCTTGTAAGACATTCCCAGCAACCCGAGCACTCCGGGCGCTAACTTGCCACGTCTCTTCTATACGACTGCCTCTCGCACCGGGCTCAACAAATTAGCGCAATACTAAGGGAACTGCCTAAGGCAAGTAAACAATCAAATCTCAGAAAATGGTAGCCATAATCCACTGCATCGACTCCTATCTGGCAGAACTCTCCATTCGTCACTGCCTGCTGAGCGGGGCGAGCATTCGCTGTACCCACATGTGTACATGTTCATGCAAAATCTCTCCAGCTCGTTTTCTGCTAATCTGGAATTCTTCTGCTATCTGCCACAATTAAATTCTTTAAACAGGCAGTAGTAATTTTTCGATTTTCTGAACATTTTTTTCGGACACGATTGTCACTGGGCAGCCCGGTCGGGGGTCATCTCCACAGATCTTTATTCCTTGTTGAAACTACCGAGCCCATTTCTTCAACATCTCAAGAACCAATGATATCGGTTAAAAAATTTCTATCGGCGTACTTTCTCTTTTTTCAAGGAAGCAAATATTAATGAACTCAAAAACATGTGTTAGTTACAATAATAACGAGCACCGCAAATTGTATTATCAAGGACGAGATAATGTGTCATTTCTAACTACCTTAGGTCGCGAAAAAGTCAGCCGCCCTTCGTAACTAATGGAGAATATTTTGAAAACCAATGAAGCTACATATTTTCGATTGTTAATATTTGTTTTTGTTCATTAATCCTGAAATATTAAAGGCAAGCCTCGTATTCACATCTTTTTGCAAGATACAAAATATTATTGTGAAATATTCCATATTAAAATGTTTACGACATTTATACTCAGCGCAGTTTTCTAAAAACTATATGCATACATACATACATACATACATACATACATACATACATACATACATACATACATACATAAATATATAAAAATGATTTTATTCGCTTTTAGATTTGAGTGGTTCGCAGAGTTGAGCCTTCGTTGGTACGCTGTACCCGCAGTCTCGTCGATGCTCTTCGATGTCGGTGGACTCCAGTTCACAGCGACCACCTTCAGCGGTTGGTATATGTCAACGGAAATTGGTTGCCGGAATTTGTGTGACACGAATCGTCGCAATATGTTAGAGGTGAGTGAGGGAGGAAAATTGCTTGTATGATTTGTAAATTCATAAAAACTCAAATAGAAAAAAAATTATAATTAAGGAATATAATTTTTGTAGACTCAATAGGATCGTATAATTTGTATGCTGTAGTATACTAAGGACAACAGCTTTTAACAATTATTATATAAATAATATTAATATACATACAGCCTTGGCCAAAAGTATTAAGCACCCCATTAATTACAGAATTTTTTTTTAACACCTTACTTCACGCAAGTAAGTTTTATTAGTAAAACAGTGAAATTACAATGAATTAGTGATAATAACATTAATATTTAGTAGGTCGATCCTTCGATTTAATAACGGCAGCAATTCTCTTAGGCTTGCTGCGTGCAAGCTTTGCAAATTCGTCCGCAGTTATAGCGTACCACTCCTTAATTAGGGCATTCTATAAGGCAGTTTTTGTTGTTATACTGGTTTTCTTAATTTTGCATTTTGAAATAGCCCACATGTGCTCAATGGGATTAAGATCTGTCGCTGATTTGTGACAAGGTGCATTATCTTGCTGAAATTGAACACCGTCTAAATTAGTATAGCCGAAAATGCTTCTAATACATTTAAATATGTACCTTTGACTGTCCATGCGACTCTCGCAAACGAACATTTCGCCGACACCATCAGCAGCCATGCAGCCCCAGATCATAATGCTGCCTCCTCCGTGCTTAACAGTGGGTACCACGTGATCTGGATGATATTCTTCCCAACCCGACACTTCACGAACGTTACGCCAGGTGTTCCAAATATCTGTAGAAAAGAAAAAATAATGTTTTCATAAGATTTGTATTATGTCTTAAAAATTGCTCTAGGTTAAAAAGCTATGGCTGTTAGTACTCACAACATTCGACCAATCTTCTGCCGTGAAATGTTGGTATCGGCGAGCCCATTCCCAAAGACTTTTACGATTTTTCCTATTCCTTTCTGAGAGCCGCGGCTTCTTTCGGGCTTTACATTTTTTAAACCTGCTTCTAGATGTCTTCTTCTAGCTGTTCTAGCTCTAACTGGTTTAATAAATTCAGCCGAAAGAGCAGCTGCAAGTTCTGCACTTTTTTCTGCGATCCTTTGGAGACTCGCGTACAAGTATTCGGTCTTCTCGTTTACTGGTTAGACTCTTTCTTCCACTTTTATTATTGTGGTATTTCGTCTCCACAAACCGCCTGATAGCACATTGGACTGCGCTTCTTCACTTAGAACATGAATCCTAACTATATCAACGTAACTAATTTCACTTTTTCGGCATTTCGGTAAATAATAACTAATTTTATAAGATTGGTAACTTTTCACTAAATGTAATTTACACTTTCACTTTCAAATTTTAAATACGAAAATATTTTATAAATTCCTTAAAAATGGCAATTGACTTGACTTTTAATATTACACAATTTATTCGTTTAATCAACGGTTGAACTACATGGGTGTTCAAAAAGAAGTGGTAACTTTGATAGCCACATTTGAGAATATATGTATTTTAGTGGGGTGCCTAATATTTTTGGCCAAGGCTGTATATCCAAAAATTACAAAAACCCTTCACTTCCTATTTTGCTGCTTTGATTAATCACAGTTATTACAAGGACCTGGACGTTCGTCGCAAAAATCCGTAAAGATAATTTAAACGATCATCAGATTCAGATTTAAGATTTTGGTTCCTAATTCCATTAAAAAAAAGCATCTAATATCATGAAATTTGGTACTCTACACACATGTAAAGAATTTCACATTCGCCTTCTTTACTGGCGTAGTGATTATAGACATTTTTCATGGGCCTTTCCCATGATTTGGCGCATGTTGAATATCTCATCAATAGCGTAAAGTCACACCATTAAGATCCAATCAGCTTGCTTGACGATGGGCCTTAGTCTTTCACACAATACGCTCGCTTTTCTTCAAGCTGACGATTACTATTCGAACTTTTTCATAGTCGATTAGTGAAATAACTGTTCCATCGTCATTGAATGCGAAATCGTTTTCGATATCTCGAGGTGTTCCATTTTCACGGCCATTCAGCAGGTTGGAGAAGTGTTCCTTCCATAAGTTCAGTATACTCGTACTGTGGGAATCAGTCAGTAGATCACCTCTCTAGATCGTACGTCTTAAAACCTCCTGTTAGTCACCGCATTTTTTCAAACTCCTCGACCTATTTTTGTCTGCCTTCTTCAATGCTCGGAATCTATGCCACCCCTCACGTGTATTAGTCGATCGCACAAGCTGTTTTCTCTACACTGAGACACGTCAATCTTCGTAATACGAGTTGGCTTTTGGCCTTTCCGAGTCAATGTTGGGTCCTCGGAATGTACGCATCTCAAGAACACTAAGGATATGTCTTTCGTCAATCACAACATGATCGATCTGGTTTTGTGTTTTTCGATCTAGAGTCAGGCAAGTAGTTTGATAACAATTAACCACATTTCAACCCAAGGGAAAGTCGATTAGCTTCAATGCATTTGATGGTATTTCGTTGTGGAGGGATACCTTCTTTGCACACCCTGGCGTTAGATTCGCCAAGCACAATTTTTTACATTGTGACGGGCGCAGCACTCCTGAGTACGCTCCAGGCGCTCCAAAAAGGTATCTTTGGTCAAACAGCAGGCATTATTTCGGTTAAAAATTTAACTGTTAAATTTGTTGTTTTTTTGGGGCAGTATTAGCCTGGTATGTTTCTTACCAAAAACCGTTAAAGTTGGTTTAAACTGGTATATTTGAATGCAGGTATATTATATAATTCATAAAAATTCAATATTATATATATATATATACAAATACTTATATAATATATGTGGGTTACAAGTGTCTACTCACATTGTATTTTATTTTATTTTTATTTTTCATTATCATAAGAGTTTTAGCTCGATTGCGCAATAAATCGTGCTCATCACATTAATTTAAAACAGATATCCAATTTACCGCAATTTATCATAATAATCATTATTACTGTCTCGCTTTTGTTAAGAAATTTCTTCATTTTGCCTTACAGACTATTGCGTTGAAGATGAATTTGGATACACGCACACCCACCTCCTTGTGGAAGGATAAGGCTCTTGTAGAGGCGAATATCGCCGTACTGCATTCCTATCAAAGTCACAATATTACCATTGTGGATCATCATACGGCCAGCGAGAGTTTTATGAAACATTTCGAGAATGAATCAAAATTGCGGTAAGCTTCCTGATGAATTTCATTCTACTTCGTTGGTTATTTTTTTTTTTGAGATTTTATGTGAATAGTTGGGGTTATTATTATTATTATTTAAATTTTTTTGATTCCATACGTTTATGATTTTATTATTTACAAGTATGTAGTGCATTAAAAAAATAGTAACTCCTTTATTTGCGGATACCATATTTTTATCGTAAATTTTATATATGTACATAATGTACATATATACTATACTCGTATAAATATAGTGTGAATAAAAGAACAATATTTTTGGTCAACAATAACATTCACAGGTCTATTCTGTCGAGGTAAAAAATTTTTCCTGGGTATTAAAATTTACCATTCAGTAAATTTTGTTACCATTTCGTATTCTCAGCTCACTGTTACCCTGTAAATTTTGTTACCAGCGAAATAGGAGGTAACAAAAATATCTGCTGTTTGATTTTGTGTTGTAAGTTTGAGAAAAAATAAAAAACCAAAATGGGTTGGCTTAGTTTAGGCCTGGAATTGATTGAAGATGAAGAAAAAAGTGCAAAACCGTATTTTAACAAGTTTTCGAGATTAAAAAATAGCCCTTTAATTTGTAAGATAACGTTTTCATACAGCTTTTTTTTGTTGTTCAGGCATTTTTTCCATAATTAAGTTTAAATATTGGGTTGCCCAAAAAGTAATTGCGGATTTTTTAAAAGAAAGTAAATGCATTTTTAATAAAACTTAGAATGAATTTTAATTGCCATTTTGTTCGATAACCTTTTGCCATCTTCCTGGCAAANTCGCGCACTTTTTTTCTAAAGCAAGCTAAAAGTAACAGCTGATAACTGACAGAAGAAAGAATGCAATTACAGAGTCACAAGCCGTTGAAAAAATTTGTCAACGCCGACTATATGAAAAATCCGTAATTACTTTTTGGGCAACTCAATATCTTTGTAAGCAACAATATGACAATTGTGAAGGATTCGCTAAATAAAAAATAATATTGAGCTGTCTTCGGCCATGCCTAAGTCCTTAAGCCTTTCATCAACATATTGTATAAAATTCTGATGATTTTTATGAAGTGCTTTTAAAGGGTGATTTTTTAGCTATTATTTTTGGCAACTCTGGTTAAAACAGCTGACGCACGTTTCGTGCTTTGTATCACTGTCAAACATCTTCAGTTTGGTCTATAATTTAACTATGAATCCTCTTACAAACGAACAACGCTGGCAAATTACTTAATTTTATTATCAAAATGCGTGCTCTGTTAAGAAAGTTCATCGCGCGCTTCAAAGTTCATTTTTGGCTTAATGGGTGCGTAAATCAACAGAATTGTCGATTTTGAAGTGAAGATCAGCCAGAAGCAGAAGAAGAAGAAGATCTACCAATGCAACCAAAAAAAGTCACAGTTTGATGCGGTTTATGAGCTGGTGGCATCATTGGAGCGGACTTCTTCAAAGATGATGCGAATCGCAACATTACTGTGAATGGTGAGCTGATGATGATATTAAACTTTTTTGTCCAAAATGCAGGAGCTTGTCTTGGATGACATGTGGTTTCAACAAGACGGCGCCACATGCCACACAGCACGCGTAACAATGGACTTATTGAGAAGCGAGTTCGGTGAACCTTTTTTTTCACGTTCGGGACCGGTCAATTGGCCGCCTAGATCGTGCGATTTAACGCCTTAAGACTATTTTTGCGGGTCTACGTTAAATCTAATTTCTATACAGACAAGCCCGCTTCAATTGAGGCATTGAAGGTCAACATTGAAGCATTTATTCGAGAGATTATTGGACTAAGCGGATGGACCATTTGAGGCGCAGTCACGGTCAATATTTGCATGAAATAATCTTCAAAAATTAAATTATATATCGATACAAAAAATATTTCTTTCATTTTTCTGAATTTTGTGTTTTTTTTTTAATTTTCCTATAGCTCTTAAAAAATCACTCTTTAGTTCATGTCAGAAATACATTCAGTAGGATTAACATTCCCTACTGAAGGGCGACCACAAGTAGAAAAATTAACTTATTTCTTTTTTAATTTTTGGATGTTAGTCGAACCAAAGCATTATAATTATTTTTTTGACAAATTTAAGACCTAAACTTTCCAATATGCAAAATCGGATGTATATATGCTATAGTGGTCCGATCTGTTTCGACACATAATCGTTTAAATGTACCAGGACACACGTGGTAAAAGTGCCTAAAACACGCACATTGTTTATTTTATGCCGTAGTTTCCATATTTTTGATGACATTTTCTTCTTATTTGGATATTTGATTTAAAATTAATCAAGGAATCGATTGCTATACAAATTTTTATATTTACTTTTCCTGGGACTTGCACCCTACATTCGGATATTGAGATCCCTTACAAATCTTGTTATTCAAAAGGAAATGCAAATATTAAACATATTCCAAGTAATTGAAGTTATTTTCTCATTTTACATACAAAATACTATATTTTTCAAAGTTCAAGACATGTGAAAAAATTTGTATTGCAACTTAAATTTTGCAGATTTCTTTTAGAAAGAAGAACATTTCTCCTTGAAAAAATAATGAAATAAATACGAATATATTTTATTTGCTTCTAGAGCTTACCGATTAACTACTTCTATTGTATGCTTTTTATTGTAATAAGAAGGAGGAGCAGAATATCCAGCAATATTTATACCGGTGATCCGTCTGTGTGTCTGACCCAAATTAATCTGTTAGTTTTAGAGATATTTCAACCAAATTTGGTAACCACCTCTGCTACTATTGGTCGCTCTACTAATACGCTGGCTACCAGTCCAGGGCTGTATGAAAGCCCAACTGGTCTAACTGGAGGCTTTAAGCCCAGTACCACGGGGAACAGGTTTAAACCTAAGTGCCGGAACAGTGGGTGTGGAGTGAAGTTGGTCAACTCGGTGTAGAGTAGCATCGCTGCCGGGTGTCGGACCCATAGACCTTGTAACCGGAGTTACTAGCAGTTGGGCTTCCATACAGCCCTGGATTTGTAGCCAGGATATTAGTACTTAGATGGGCCTCGAGCCTAACCAAGGTGGCCAGTGTGTCCATATCATACAGCTGATTGGAACCATAGTGTTAGTAATACTCTCACTACGGGGTGCTGATCAACACTGATCTGTTGTGTATTTGAACACCGTGAGGCTAGGCGGTCGACGGCAGGTACTCACGTTAAACATCTCGAACATTGGTCGCTATACCCAAGTGATTAGCATTGCATACTAATATTTGGAAGTCCAGGGTTGGAGTCCTGGTTCGACCAATATCCAAAATTAATTTTTTATAGTTGAGATCGCCTCCCGCTAGAAATATCAAGCACTCTTAATGTATTTCGGATATGAACTAATAAAGCTCCTCATAAGAAATCATTAGTCGTTCGGAGACGACTTAGTACAAACAGTAGATTCCTCCATTTGTTAGATGAAACATCAAGACGCATTCCAGAAATCGGAGGAAGAACTTGGCCAAAGATCGCTTCATCAGTTACAAGCGCCAAATACATTTAATTGCAATCAGTTCAATTGTTTGCCAAACTATTTTCATATGTATAAAAATGTATCAGTTTAGCTAATTTTCGTCTGATGAGGTAAGTACAAATTGAAATATTTCAATATAACGCAGGACTCTGCAGATAAGTTTGACATCTGAAGTTGATTCGTTGATCTGCGAAGATTAAAAAAGCTATGATCCAAAGAAAATTTGTTAATTTTTCCAAAATCGTAAATTTTTTTTTGTAAAAAGTTCGAACGCTTATATTTTCTAAAATATAAAATGCTCGAAAAATATATTAACAGCAGATCAATTGTATTAATGTTTAGGTTTCACGTGCAAGAAATTGACTCATTTAGTTTGAGAAATGTATTTTCTATAGACATTTTTGTACAGACACAAATTAAATAATTTTTAAACACACAAAATTCAAATCTAGATTGCTCAACTTTGAGTGGTCATTCCCCTGAGGCTGGAGCAAGAGTTACGGTGAATTGATTGCGCTATTGAAAAATTATTAATGACTCTTATGACCGAAATTGAATGGTATTGAACAACGAAATCATCGATCTTTTATATTTTATGATTTGGTTATGAAAAATTTTATAAACAGGTATACGGTCCTGTAAGAGAGATCCCACGGCTTTGGCTAATGTTGTTGTCTATTGCGAGTGGCATAACCTTATCTTTACATTGAAATAAACAGCGGATTACTTATATAAAAAAATTCCATTTTTCTGTGAATATCAAATTCACAGCTCTTATTGGAAAACCCTATATATAACTTCGGAGAAATTTTTTTTAATTTTTCAGTTCGAATTCTTTGAGTTTTATAATGAAATTAATTGCTTAGCAGAGTTTTAAATTGATGGTTTCTCACGATCCATAACGGGTTCCATTTTTACTTTCCCACATGAGTGTGTCTGTGAGTCTGCGAGTGTCATTCAAAATTTTATAACGTACTATTCAATACAATCAGTATGCGATTATATTATCATTCAGGGAAATCACTGGACAAAACGAAAATAATGAAGTGTGTCTGACTTCGGTCATGTCGACCACACTCTAAAAATATAATATAATATTTTTAGCCTAAATACTAGTCTATTATTTATTGCAAAGTATTTTTTCAATGCGTACATGTATGTGCTATGTTTTTATGGGTATTAATTAAGTGAATTTAATTAACTCATTTAATTGCTTAATTTTGTAATCGTAAAATAATTCCCGCCGCACCGGGTTTTCTCGTTCGACTGCTGAGAGCATTTAAACAATTGACAAATATTTGCGAGTCATTTTCAAAATCTGCAATGTCAATTATATTTACATAGTAAATTTGTCATTAATTAATAATTGGCGTGAAATAAATATAGCAAACTCGCACATGTTTAATGTCAAAGGTGATCAACAAATCTTAGCTAACTAAATAAAATTAATTTCTTACGTCAGCTTCGTTTTCATGTTTCATGTTTCATGTGCTTTGTTCTTAGTTAACGACGCCACGAGTAACACATAATACTTTTT